TGATCTGGTCTCTTCCAGAAGAGGGTGCCACTCGAGGCTTGAATCTGCAAAAYGCAGGATACTTTTGGATCGTGTTACTGCTATTAATAAGTTTACCTGGAATTCCTTGCCCATGGAATTAGGAACCTGGCAGGACTGTGCTTTGAGAGCTGGCCAGAACAAACTGGTGTTTGGCCATTTCCCTCAGGACATGCAGTGTCTGAGCCTGGTCCTCCCGGTGTCCCCCAACTCCAGGTTCATCCGGGTGGGGTTCACTCAGCTCTGAGCCTGCAGCCAGGGGAGGGAGCAAACCAGATCAGAGGGCTGCTTTGGCACCGGAATAGCCAAGATCATCTTTCCTAGAAGAATGAAAAAYTGCCATCTGTGCCTGGTTTTAACTRTAGTACAAGCTCACACATCTTCTGTTTTTCAATCATTCATAGACAGCAAAGATTTACAGCTGTTTGCATTTGCGAAGCCTCAGTTTACGAACAGCTTCTGAGTCTTAGACAACAGGCTAAGGATTCTTTAGTAACAGATGAAGAAATGTCAAATATCAAAATCCCCATTGTCAAGGCAATTACATACCCAATATGTAAACCTGTTGGTTTGCTGGACAGCTATTGGTAAACTGCTCTGTGTCATTGCTGTGAATTAACCATGTTCTAGACTATAAATATTAATCACAATAAGWCAGTTTAGGCATGACAGACACACAGATGTGGTGATGGTGCCTCCAGCAGAGATGCACAGCCCTTCCTRCCAGTGTGGCACTGTCTCAGATCATCCTCTCCATGGTGCACCAGGATTCCTGTGCCTCACAGAGCAGATTCTCACTGAACTCTACAAAGCAAACAAAACACTTGTGCACCTGCTAGCCTCATTTTTTCCCCCCTTTTCTTTAAAGCAGTGGCCAATGACACATTTGGAGATAATTAAAACAAAGGTTGAGGGGGTTGTTTTCAATGTGCCATGACCATTAGAAGCTGGATTAGGAATAAACCAGCACAAAAGCAGCAAACTTCTTATACCAAATATAAGTAAAACCAGACTTCAAATTTGAAAGCAGGATTTTTTTTTTCYTTTTTCCTCTCTACAGAAATTMTTTTCTTTGTGCCAAGACTAAAATATTAGCGCTGTGTTCCCTCCTCTGTTTAAACAGACCTCATTGCATCTAAGTGCCAAAAAAGTGGAATTCCTGAACAGCAGGTGAAAAGAAAACAGAAGATCAAACACAGTTCTGGCTGCCAAGAGAACCTGCAGCACGGCTTGGGGGTGCATGGAAAGTCATGCAGACTCCTGGTGTTGTCAAAGACTTCTGGAAGGTCRTCAAGGATTGTTTTTCAAGCATCCCACATCAAAAAGTTGCCCAGAGAGACAAATCTGCACTACATCATGAGGATGGTGCTAAAGATACCAATTACCCACTTTGAGGAGTATTTAACCTTTTCCCCATCACATCTGTGGAAGCAGCTCTAAGAAATCAGTGCTCTGTGTGGAGACCAGGGGTATGGAGATAAATGTAAGTGCTCACACTGGGCAATGGCTGATTTGGGTCCATAACCCACCAGGGAACTGTGGAAGGAATGTGTTTTTCTGAGCTCATCCTTGCACTTAAGGCAAAGGAACACATATTTTGCTGCTCTTGTAACAAGCCAGCCCTTGTACTAATTAGTATTTCTGCACCCAGCTGGACATTCATTAGCCCATGAGAGTCCTTTGTCTTTGGCTGATGCACYCTTTGGGGATGCAGGGAAGAAACTGCTCCAGCACTTCTCATGGGTGATGTCCTTCAGAAAAGAGAGTCAAGCTCAGCTCAACTCCTTGTCAATCCTTTCTGACCCTCTCCTGCCATTCCTTGTCATCAGTGGGAAAGGCAGGGAGGCTCTGGCCCCAAAGCAGACATCTGGGTTTGAAAACAGGAACTTGGATGTGTGTCTGGATCCCACTGTGCTGGGAGCCCTGTGAAGTTCATCCACCTTCCACCCCTGAGTAGGGGCAGCACCCAGGTGAGGCTGCAGCACTGYCTGTGAGTGATCTCTGACCAATGACACTGATTTCCAAATTCCATGAATGCYTCCCCCATAATTGCTATGGCTGAGAAATGACCGACCAGGCAGCAGCACTGGGATCACAGCTTGGAAGTGCTCAGGCCCATTTTTCGTCCTAAAAATCACCAAGCAGTGAAGTTATTTCACATAAGACACACATTGGTGGGGTTGAAAATAAAACAAGGTGCACACAAGCTCCTAAAGACAGCCTTTTTTTTTTTAATTTTAAAACTCTGCATCTGAAAACACCGTATGACAGAAAGCATTTATATACACTGCAGTGTTTTTGGTATAATACAGTATTTCATACATCCATTTCTTTTTCTGCAAAAGAATTTGCTTTGTCGGACAAACAACCAAACTCCCATTGACAAAGAATACAGCTAAGGCACATTGTTTCTGCTAAATGAAAGACAAAAGGGTGCAAAAACGGGTAGTGCAATAATTGCTGAAAATCACATTCTACTACAAGAAAAGCATTCTGACTTTGAACTTTGATTACCGATCAATTTAAGACATTTCAATATCTCATAAAATACTCCTTTAAATAAATAGCAAAATATCTACATCTTTCAGTGTGTTCCATTTGAATTTCCAATTTTTTTTAAACTTTCCTGTATATACATGGTTTTCTTTTTTCTTATTCAATAGATTACAAAATATTTCTGTACAATTTTATGCATATTATGATCTATAACAAAATAGTTATTTCTTAAAACTATATTACCACCAGTCTTTGAAAATGACAGAATAGGAATAACTTATTATGGACTATGTTAGGCAATAGAAAAATCCAATCAAACCAAAACAGAACCAAAAGGACAAAGTCAGAAAAATAATTTCATTACATTGAATTAATTATTTTCGTTTCACAAATTTTGTTTTCTATGTAAACCCTTTTCAGTTGCCTTTGGGTTGYATCCACATCTTAATACCAATATAGGACAGGATTTGGGATTCCTAAAAGCACTGCAGCCTGCCGGGAATATTGGTGCYACTCACTGAAACACGACMGTTCACATGGAGCAAAGWATTACAGAAACCCAACACATACAARGCTTTGCAGAWGTCATCGGTTTCTGCTGACTTTGACAGCCTTCGAATGAAGCTCCAAAAGCCAGATTTTCAGAAATGCATTTATGCTTTAGATGAAACAACCACACTCCACTGTGTTCTAAATGTACTTTTAGATTCCCAACCAACACCCCAAATCTGGCCCCACCTGACGATGTTCTTCAGATTTTAAGACCATACCATTAAGAGGATATTTCTTCTCCCAGCTATCAGTACAAATCTGAGAGGACTGCTACTATGCCATGTCAAAATGRGAGAAATTACTCTACAACTTGTCTTGTGCATCTGAGAGCGGTCTGTCCTGTTGTAGTCTGAAGATAAATTAGAAGTTACTAAGTTTGTACTTTGTATGTAATTAAACCAACCTTATCTACAGTGAGTAACAAAAGACAGAGCTCATAATTTCCTAAGGTTTATATGAATGTCTGAGACTTCCTTTTGCCCGAAGGGAAGGTCATTTTCTTTCCTTAAAGACTGCATTTGTAAGCAATTTCCATTGTATTTGTGAAGTGTAAGCTGACAGCAACACAACCGAGCTGTAATAGAAATCTCAAGGTGCCTTTTATTCATTCCACAACAAATAGAGAAAGTGAGCAAGACACAGACAACACCAAAGTTCCTAACACAGTTTAAGGCCACATTTAGAAAGGATGGAAGTAAGGCTTTCTTTAAGGGGCAACACACTGGATGCCACAATGGGAACAGACACCRAGCAATCCAAAGCTGATAGGATTCACCCACGGAAAAGCTGAAACAACACCCTAGTTTTGGCCAGCAGGTCTGTGCCTTTTTTTGGATCTAAGCAGRAAAATAAAATTAAATGCCATCGAATCCTCCTCTGGAATATTCCCAGCAAACTGAAGGTGCTCTCCTAGCAGGAGTGCTATTGTCTCACTCGAGGGTGTTAATTACAACAGAACCAAAGACAAGCCAAGTCATTACAATATACAAATGCAGCGCCATGAACTGCGCCTAGAATTGTCACTCTGGTATCAGAGGCACCTGTACAGTATCTTGCTGTTTATTTGGCAAGGTTACAAGTAATACTTCTAGGTTTTAACAAAGTAGAAAGAGAATTTGCATAGATTGTACATTCAGTTCAAGGAGATTTCTGGTACCTTTTTTTTTGTTGTTCTCAGGTAAACGTGTTTGCAGACACAGTGAGGTAGCAGCTGTGGTAGCACCCATGAGCAAAAGAAGGTAACCAAGGCAGAAGCAGAGAGCAGAGCGATCAACACACCACTGTCAGTAGGAGGGAACAGATCAWCATGGTACCTGCAGTGCCACATCATGAGGGGGAGCTGCTCCCAATGCCACACGGAACTGAGACACCCCAATGCTGCTGTGCTCCTGGGTATTACGGGCTCTAAGGTCCTGCAGCCTCAATTTTAAATGCTCTCACCCTGATTATTCTTTCCCTTACTGTGATGATGATTGTGAAGGTTTTGAAGGCAAATCTCTCCTACAGTACACCTTCGAAGGGAATTACACATCAGAGTATTTGCTTGCTTTTGAAGATTCTGCAGGAAAATGCACTGTCCTACAAATTCTTCCTTGCTGCCCTTAACCCKAATTCACATTTCTTTGGCTCCTCCRTGCCTGGCTGCAGCAGCAGCTGCCCTCAGGGCTCAGCAGCAGGTATTCCTGCTCTCAGGAACTCCTCCTGGGCCTCTGGAAAGGCAGTGCTCTGTCCTCTCTAATGCTGCATTACTCCCTACCCTCTCTGTGGGCATCACCCCCGGAGCTGTCTTGGCAGAAGCCTGAAGGTTTGGTTTGGAAAGGCTTTTTTATTTGATATTTTCAATTGTCATTTAATATGGGCCTAAGGCAATGTCTACAAATCCTTTAAGACTATACTGGAASTCTTGAATGGTAGAAATAAAGACASRWATGGATCAKTATCTTTTCACAACCAGACYGAAGCAAAGGCCAGTGGGAAAGGCACCAACCACATCCTACCATGTCTAACTCTTTTGCTGAAATAACCAAATAACTGAGTCTCCTTTTTCATATATCAGATTCCCACGCCTGAAAATCAGGACAAGGTAACTGCTGCCTTTCACCAACTCCTTCCTCGCATCAGTGCTAGCACTGATCTGACTGAAGGCTGCTCTGAAAAGCAAACTTTCCTCATCTGCAGCTGGGTTTCTGAAGAAGCCTAGGGGATCTGGCTCACTCAAGTATCAAACTTCCTGCTCTATGGAAAGTGCTGGAGTTGGCCAAGGTTTCATACGGCCAACTCCTGAAGCTTTGGGATCTGGGAACACAACGAGGAGGGCGTGGCAGCCAGCGGCAAGCTGGCAATTCTCTGATGGCTSTGATGAAAGGGAACCAGAGAAATCAACAGAAAGCTGGTCCTCATTGCTGGGCCACAAGAAACATCTGCATCTTGTTTATCTGGGAAGTCAAAGCTGAGATCTCAGGACATCAATGCCTCTCAGCCTTGCTGTGCAGAAGGAGCCCAGTTTGTTCAAARGTTTGCTGCAACACAATTGTGTCAAACTTTTTGCAAGYTTCAGCATCTTCTTTACCCTTTCCYTCTCTCTYTGGCCAGGTTTACACTGTCCCAGTTCTGACTCACTGACTTCACCACTGTGCTCACTATGATCGTGGCTGAGAGTGATGGAGGCTTCATYAGGATTGCAATTAGTGCTGCAGGAGATGAGGGGAAAGTGAATGCACAGGAGCTGGTACTTCTGAAGGTGCTGCAGGATCACTGTTAATACACCACTGAACAACTGCACAGGCATTGTGCACTGAAGCCAATACCCAGGAAAGTCAATTTGTAACACACGAATGCACACTCCTGTATCTCTAGGCTTAGCAATAATGAAGGCTTAACAACAGAGATACAGAGGGACTTTCTTGTATAACACTTGCTATCATGAAGGAATTGTTAAAATTCTCTGCTTGCCAAGAGCACAAAAAATGAAGACATAATTTCAATTCTAAAAAAACCCTTGAATATCAGAAGATGAAAATGCAAATATTACTACTCAATGTCCAAATGTCATCAAAGAAAGAATTGGACAAATCTGAAAATAAACTGTCATTTGAGCTATTTCATTTAGCCTTGGGCTTTAACATTACCATATAAACAGGTTTGCATAATGCCAAGAGTGACTTTGGACATAATTCATTAAATCACGTATGTAGATGTTCTGCATTTTGCCACATTCTCTCTCTGTGTAATACAGATTGATCACAGGAGTGTTACACGGCTGTCSTGCAGAATGGGCAGGGAATTTAAACAAGCAAAGCATTACACACAGAGGACAAATGTGTGCATATTGAAATACAAACCTCTCCCACTAAAAGGGATTTTGATCAAACCAGGCTTTCAGCTGGGATCCTGTTCAGCAAAATTGGCCAGTGTGATTGGAAAAGAACACCTGCACATTCAGATGAAGATACATAACTCACTTGTTTTGTACCAGCTCTGGGTCCCTGCTCTGAATTCTCCTTTTCACCAAATGTAAGATCTGTGAAGTTATTCTCTTCTGACCCTTGACAATGTTCATCACAGGCTCCCAGTGCTGCCATTTCAAACCAGAGAAGCCACTAAGAAGGACCAGATTGGGCTTAGCAGAATCAGCTTGGAGCCAGCTCTGATCCCTCATGCAGAGTCTGGCTTTGCATGTTTTTTATTCTCAGCTACTGGACTTTGTAACTCAGACACAAAGTCTCATGTATATCTTTTGAATCCATGTCTGCATGATAATAGCTGTAGTAGACATGGCTGTTTAGGTCCAAAACTTGACATTGCCCCCAGAAGATGTTCCAAACACGGYAGCTTCTCCTTTGATGACTTCAAACACAGACAGCATTTACCCCTAGCATACTGTCACACCTTTTATTTATGCTGGACTTGACTCTGAAGTCCTCACTCAGCACATTGTGGAAATTTTGCCTCAGAAAGGACTGCAGGATCAACCCCTTCAGCTCTGCATCCTATATTTCAACAGCAGCTCTGGGACTGCCAGCTTGCTACAAAACTTCACTGTTTAAATGCTTTTTGCCTTCCAGAAAATAAATGCATATAAATTTTCTTTGAGATATTTTAAAACTAGCATATAATGCAAATGGATATATCAGCAACCATCTGTTTTCTTTCCCTTTTTTGTACTAAAACTAAATAATTTGCACCTTATATTTTAAATGATAAAAGTGGCAGCTTTTTTCCTAACCACAGAAGATGTGGTTGTTGTCACCTTCTGCTTGGTCTAGTTAATGAAAACTTACCAAAAAAGCACTTAAAAACATTCCTGCTTAAGAATAAAAACAAGTATCAAATTAAAAAACTAAGTTATCTGCATGTGTGTGCGTGGGTGCACCCCTACACATGTGCTTATGTGCAAGACAGACTGAAGATTTTGTGACTACCCCAGAGTCTTACTGAGAACAAGTGCCTGGGCTTCTTAATGAATTTTATTGTGTGCCCTAAATACGAAGTTCTTCATTTAATCCGCAGGGTTTGAACTGTGCAGCTGCCATTGCATCAGTGTGACTGAAGCCCTGGATTTCACAGTGAGGACTGGAGGTCCTCAGAAAATACGAACTTCACAAAGGAATGTTATATTAAAAATGAGAACTGTTAAAAAACCCCACTGTGTAAGTAACAATACTGTGATTCTATTACATAAACGTGTTGGCTACCCTGGTTTCATACACGCTTGCCTCTAGAGCTGGTTGAAAAGCTGGAACGTTGTCTTGACTGGAATATTCCAATCAGCTCTCACTGCTACAAACTTTCCTAAAGCTACAGCTCTTGACTGACAAAATGAAGACAAAAAAAGAAAGGGAGGTGTGAGGGGAGGAAGGCCTTTTCTTAATAAAGGCAGCTTCAGTTAGTAAAATAACATAATCTTCAAGCTGCAAAAGCAGCACCTACTAATTAGTCATTGACTAAAACATAAATAATAAATACCTAAATTGTTCCTTCCATGCATCCATTTTTGTGCCAGATAAACATTTCAATGCTCTGCCTTAATGCCAGCACAGCTGACACCACAATTTCAAGTCCAAAGCAAACTGAAGTAGCTTTAAACCAATATGACAGAGATACTACAAGCCACTGGGATCTGTGTCCTACTGCAAGTGTTGTTTAAAAGGGAATTCAACCTTCCTGTGAGACATGATTACGGGATGATCTAAGRGCCTGTTTCCCTCCTGATGTGGACACTTAACTCTCAGCAGAAAGTTAACCATGCACACAGAAGGGTGAACAGAAACCTGCCTTTTTTACAGCAACAGGACTTCTTTCCTAATTAACCCAATAGCTTTTAATGGTCTTTTGTGCTTCTGTTGCTAACTAGAGATTAACACAGCAACGACAAGAACAACGTGCATGTTTTTGCTAATGTAAAATGCATTCGTTGGAGATGAATTTGCATATAAAACTGGTATTWTAAAAAAGTTACTGGAATGTAAATTAATTTTTCCCTACAGTAGAAAATGCAGGTTGAAATGATGCAAAGCATGCCTATTTAAAACRGGATGCAGTCTGCTAGGAATTCTGAAGACAGGCAAGGGTAGATTGTTGACAGAATAAAGTAAAAGCACAGAGAAACATGGCMCTGTTCTCCTTCCCCTGGCTTTGGGCACAGACCCACATCCTGCACAGCCTTCCAGATGCCCTGGCAAAGCCTGGAGGGATCTTTCTTCAGGAAGAGAGGGAGATCTCAGACCAAGGGAGGGAATTAGTGTTAAGTCTTACTAGCCACTACTCAAATTAGGGAAGAAACCTGTTGTTGCAGATTTAGGTGCCAGTTTTACTAATTTACTGGTTTAGAACTCCACTGCCTGAGAAAAAACTCAGGTCAGCTCATGAGCAAAACCAGCAAAGGGTGTGAGCAGACACATCACAACCCAACCCAGCCTACACATACACACCTGTTCTACTGGCAGTCTGTGAAAATACTCAGGTACTGGTGGCTTCCAGAAATACCTGCAGGTTTGCAAGGGCTGAAATTCAAAATACTTATTTGTTCTTTAATAAATACTCTTAGCACGCTGACCCTGAACCTAACTGCATGAGACATAAGGCTACTACAGCAAAACACTGGTTTCGTTTAGAGTTTATCATGAAATTAGTCTGAAAAAAACATCTGAAAGTAATCTGAAAGTTTCTGATTTTGCTTGTTTTCTCTAACTAGGATAAGAGACATTAGCTGTGTCCAGAATTACTTGTGTCATTAAGAACCCGAGTGATGCTGTACCATTACTTCACATTCTCTGAGGTCATGTGGCCCCACAGGCTCCAGCCTGCAGGAACYGACCTCTCCAGGAAGCGTAAGTAGAAGGGAATTTTGCTGTGATTTATTCATGGTAGCAAAATAATGAAAGCCTATGAAAAAGCAGAGGTACAGACAAATTTACTTTTAAAAAACCCCTTTAGCAGCTGCTCCTTCACTGCCCTCTCCACGGCTTGGTGCTACTGTTTCCAAGCCCACAGGCTGTGGGACAAGTGAGCTGATGGAGAGGGCAGTGCCAAAGGCTTTGTCAGAACTTCAGAACTCTTTTTTGGTTTTTTTTTCTGTTTTTTTAAAAATGAATTATATTGCAATAAGTAACAAAAAAAAAAAAAAAAATTAACCTTCCCTTGTGTTTCTGAAACCTGGCGTAAGATTCACAGAGAAGCAAGGTTCAATTCCCTTTTAAAAACCTATGGCGGGCAGAGCGTACCGGTGCTACCTGAGGCGGCCGTCGGGTTTGACGGGGCCCAGCTCGGATTTGGGGTCGGGGCTCAGGGAGCTCCAGGCKGTCTGGGCACAGCCCTGCAGCACGGGGCAGGCCGTGGGGCCCACGCTGCAGATGTCCACGGCCGACCAGACGCCGCTGACCAGCGAGTCCACCCAGGAGTCCAGGCGGGCGCCCACCAGCGCGGCGTTGCGCCGGGACTGCTCCAGGCGSGCGGCGCTCACCGGGATGTTCAGCACGGGGTTCAGGCCCTGGAAGCTCTGCTCCATGTAGGCGTTCTTTGGAGGCCCGCTGTGGAACTTGATGGCTTCCTCTGGAAAGGTAGAAACAAACCCAAAGTCAGTGTTTTTTTTAAAAAAAAAAAAAAAAAACAGCGCTAAGGATCTAAGGGAACAGCAAAGAAAAAGACGGAGGTTTAGGGGTCTGTGCTGGGCTCTGGCACTCCTCGTGCTCATCCTGCAAGTGCTGCCTTAGCAGGCACAGCCCCGAGCCTGCAGAGTCACCCTTATTATCCACACATACAACCAGCATCCCCAAAACTGCAGGACACTCAGGACTGGCTGCACCTCGAAATGAGGAAACGTTCAAGGACACCTGGTGTGAGAAGTCTGCCAGCCCCTGTCAGACATCCAAGTGCTATCATTGATTTGTCTAGGAGAARGAGCCAAGATCTCAGCCTGTTTTGTTGTGGGTTTGTTTTCCTAAACAGATGAACCTTGCCCTGCTGGGGAAAAGCCACAACATTTGCTAGCTCTATCTGCATACAAAACCCATGTGGTGTCATTTGTGGCACTAAATGGATAACACCATGGTCTTGGACAGACCAGACCCATAATCAAACACATGTAGCTCCAAAATGATTCCTGGAAATGCTCCAGTCTCACTGGGAAAATATTCTCTCATGACAGTTATATTTCAAGCTTCTGTGCTGAACAGTACATCACAACCTTTTCCTAATGACACTTTTCTTTGTACTGTGGTTGCTTTCCTTACAGYAACCCTTCTATCTCAGCAAAATACAGTACAATACCCAAATCTGCAATATTGCAGTAAAGATCAGGTTGTGACTGCTTTCAGAGACCTAAACTGAACACTGTGGGTCAGGCTGCCCCTGTCAAAAGTTGGCTGAATTCTGAGAGTCTGAGTGCACCAATGTGCTGCTTATAAAATCAGGATGGGACCCTCCAAAAATGTTCACCGAGTGCCTGCTGGGACCAAATTTCCAACCATTTCTTCCCGCTCTCAGCTGCCTTCCCCAGCATCCTCGYTCCAGCAGCACAGAGGATGTGTTTAGCTCTGCCAACAGACACACTGTCTAGAACAGAAAATGGGCCCATTCAGGGAGCTCCAGGCGAGGAAAGCCACCGCACTCCACGAGCGTCAGAGGCCAGGAATTACATATTCACGGCTACAATTCCTTCCACATGTCCTTGCTGCTTGCGCTGCAGCCTGACACTGAGCCCTTTCTTCCATGCAGAGGACAGCATCTCAGGTGCTGGCAAGAAATCCATGTATTTATTTAGAGGGAAAAAGGGATGTTTAATTTGAAAAGTCTTTAATGTCAAATACTGTACAAGTCCATTACTTCAAATCCCAATTAAACTGGTTCAGCACATTGCCATCACCATTATACCTCACTTTATTCCTGAATCCATCTAAGCCCCTCTTTTTATATTAAATAGTAGATATGCACAATAACCTGYAGTCAAAATGAGTTCATTCCATGCACATGTGTCAGGAATGTGCTCTGCCAAAGCACTGCAGTTTAAGAAACAGAACAAGTACACATGATTAAATTTCCTCCTTTGGAAGCAATTAAATTTGGAAGATTGTTTGTCAACATATTAATTAAATAGGAACATTCTGAGTAAAAATCCTCAAATAAATAAGAGTTGGCAATACTAGCAGCATCATCTGATTGAAACAGGCAATTCAGCGAGCTCATTGAATCAAAGCCTGTTGCGCGTGTGTTTGGTGCATGGAACAAGGGAGATCTTTATTCAGGCAAGAAACAGGATGAAATGGAACTTGCTGTTCTCCCTGGCTCAGCCTCAGGACTTGGTGGGTTATCAGGACTGGAAAGAACAAAACCTGCAGCAACTGCAGGACCCAGCGCTTGGCACAGCAGCAGAGATTGTGTTAAGAGCTACCACTGCCCACAGTGCAAAACGCTGCTGCAGTGCAGGACACACAGAAAACCCTGACCTGGGGGATTACCTGGTCCCACTGCAGAACAGCACCCCAAGTTAGGTGCCAGCACGTCCTAGAAAGGAAAAGCTGGGTCACAACAGTTTGAGGGCAGAGCTACATGCACTCATCAAGAGGAAATGCTGGGGATTGGACCCAGAACCTCTCCTGCAGCCTCCAAGTTTCTGTTAAACAATTCACAAGAGAAAGTAGGGAGGATGCTGCTCATCTCAGCAATGGCAGATGGGTCGCTCCTCTTTGCGAGGAAAGAGGAAAAGGACAGAGAAAAAAGGACAGAGACTCCATAACTTACTAAGATGGTATGGAAGTGACACAGTGAGGCTCCTAAGCCCTGAAATGCTGTAAAAAATGAGGCTGGAGCTACTGGGTGTGCTCTTGAAGCACTGACATTTCAGTCAAGTGTCACAAGGAAGCACTCATGAAAAAATAATGAAGAATGTAAGGGTTGCCTCTATGAGATGTGTCTTTAGACATTTAAATCTGTGTGGTTAGAGCAAACAAATCAAAATTAGCTTAAGCTAAACTTTTTTGCCASCCGTTTCACTTCAGSAGGAYACATATCAATGSAAAATATATTCCAYTGAYTCGAAAATACAGCTTTAAAACACTWGGTAATTTTTKAYYCCCCTTTTTATTTGCTTTTTACTTGGGAGGACACATTTCTTAACTGACTTTTYTTGGTCTAACTTCTTTTGGATTCAACACACAGCCTATAGCCAGCCACACAAGCTAGGATTTCAGCATTTTTGTGTGGGTTTGTTCTTCATTTTGCAGAAAAAGCAAATTAGTTCAGACAGAGAGTGGGCTAAGGAATGAAAAATATGGTTACCTTGGTACACATTAAGGTGCTAGACCTGTGGGTTTTTAAAGCAACCCAGAACGTACAGCTTTATTTCTTTACTTCAATTGTGTTGAAACCCTCTGGCAAAGAGGTAATTTTTTATTGACATTTTGTTTGTTTTCTCTTGCAGCAAACAAGACAGTGCTGCATTTGCTCATTGTGGAGCTAATCGACTCCTTGTCAGCTGGATCTGAACTAAATTTCGAAGCAAATCCCTGTCTTCAGGGTTTTTCTCGGAATGATGATTCCAGGGCATGTCTGCTCTTCTGCAGTCATGCGCCTGCCTGCTGCTATTACTGCATTTATCAAGAACATGTCATGTTACCTCTGGTTAATTTAAAGAAATCACGGCAGTTCTGACACAAGTTGCCACCCACTTTATAATCCCTATAGATGCAATTACAATTGATTGAGCCACTGCAAACAACCAAGGGCAAAACAAAGGTTTCCCAGTATCTGCTAATTGAGACGATCTATAAATATGGATTAGGTTAAAAGGCCGGTGAGGTGCCTGAGGGCATCGCCCATGTCTGCTAATGCTGTCAGCCCTTGAAAGGGGTGGCTGCATTTTGGGGCACAGGGACCAGGCTCTGGTAYTTCAGGCTCCATGGGAGCAGCAAAGATCAGCAGCTCCACATCCAGGACCATCRAGCTGGGAACTGAGTGGGAAAGTTCTCTCTTAAGGCAAAACAGGAAGTTTCTCTTTTTCACTGCTCTCCCTGCTTGCAGGAAGAAGGGCTTTTCATGTATTCCATTATTTACAGTCCAGGGTTTACTATCATCTTGAGGTTTTGGGGCTTTTTCTGCCCCAGAAGTGAATCTGCTACTGGCTCCCAATAACCTATTTGGCTTTAATGGAACAGGTACCATCCATTAAACGGATGACAACTCATTATCAGCCCTCCAGCTGGGAGAGCACTGGAGAAACTTTACTGTGAATATAAACTCAAATTTAAAAMTTAAATTGCTTTGGCTTTTTCTTTTCCCYTCACTGTGACCCTGGGAGTCAATCACACTTGGCCTTTAAAGAGCAGAAAGTGGGGGAAGTGGGATGGTGGGAATGCAGAGCCAACCTCTATCAAATTTGCTGTTTTCTTAGGCCTTGAAGTCTGCTGGGTAGCTGGATTAGTCTSTGAGCTGCTGGCTAAATGCTCTGAATTATACCTGTTGTTTGGCTCTGCCTCTGCAGCCCTTCACAGGGGAGCTGGACATCTGCCTTGAATCTCCTCAAACTCAAATTCCTAAAGATCCAGCACGAGTCCCCACTGCTGTGTGCCATCACTGCCAGTGAGCTTACACAGATCTGCTCCCTGTTTTGTCTTCTCCACATCCCATTCCCTCTTTGTCTTGGCACAATTATTCCYAGAGCATCCTGCTGGTCCTTGGCAGCCCTCCTGTGTCCTTATAACAAGCATGGAGTTCTTGGCTTTAACCCGACCATATGGTCAGAACCTCCAAATTGTTGTTTAGAAGAATAAACTGGAATCTGTCTGTGCAGGAGGTAGAGGGAAGGAGACTCTGGTGGACAGAGTGAACCCAATTTCTTCAAATTATTTATCTCACAAATTCACCTAATTTCCTTTTCTTTTCTTCCTTCTCCAACTAAACAAATACTTGGAGGCACTCCTGAGCCAGAGAATCTGCTGAAGGCAGAGCTGATCAGTGACACAACTCAAAGTCAAGAAAATAGACAGAGATTTGGATGAGTGGAGGGGGAAGAGGAGCAGGAAGGAATAAGTAACATTAGATTATAGATTCTCCACTGAAATATTTTAGGGAGCCTCATTTACAGTGGAAATACCGCAAATAGTAATTCCATGTAAGACCTGATCTCTTRCAGATCCAGGTTTTGAAAAGGTCAATGAGTCTGTGTTTTTAAAACAATTTACATTCYATCAGTTATTCACATCTGGACACAGTATCAAAGAAATCACTCACTCTTGATTTCCCTTTATATTTAACTTGCATGCATAAAATTTAGGCCAAAATTAATAAATAAATGGAAATTGAAAAATGAATAAACTAGTGGCATATGCTGTTTTTATAAACTGCTAAATGAAACATCTTTGCTGGCAGCTGTCCCATGATTATTTTTTTTATTTTGAATAGCAATTACAAAKTCTGAGAGTCATGATACAGGAATGAACGTGTTTTACTTTGATTGTTCAAACGAAGAGCCAGTAGCTCCCTTCACGATGCTGGGAAACCAAAACAACTTTTCCTTGTTGTGCTCTGGGCTGAAGTGAGGTCTAGATAAGCAATGATTTAGAAAATACAGGGATTGTTGTCGTGTCTGTGTTCTCAGGATACAAGATGTTAGTAGTAGCTGCTGCTAGTTTAGTGCAAATGATTTCTAGAATGGCAAAAGCAAATTGCACACAAGWTTATGCAGAGGTTTTTATGTCTGCAACTTTGTGGACTCCACTTTCCACATCTGGAGTGGATGAGACAGAGGGGTCAAATCATTATTGAGGAAGTGACATGCAAAGTGCTATGAAATCTATCAGTCCAGGGCAATCTTTCTGACAAGAATTGTTTTTAAATCAGGRCAGGGTAGGGGTTGGTGGTGGTGGTGAGGGAGGATAGGTAGAAAATTGAAAATTTTAAAGAAATCCCTAATAAAACATATTCCTCTCTTTTACTGACAATTCCTGGCTAAGTCTGATGTATGTTTTACTTTCAATGTTAAGACAAGAAAATAATGCTATTCCTTCATTTGAGAAGGTTTTTGGCAACTTTCACATTGTTTACAGTAACAGAAATCGTTCTTTYAGAAGTTCTAATTCTTCTGTCATACTCTCAAAATGCCTTTATTTGGCAGAGAAAAATGTATTTAAATAATAAAGTGRTGACAAACTGACAAAAGCTGGAAATCAAAGCTAAATGATGATTGCCTGCACAGAGCACAATAGTGTCACTGAGATAGAAAGCCCTAAAAAAACAAACAAGAGGAATTTGCATTGTAAATACAATTCTGACTACAGTTGAGTGTCACTACCTGTCCCTGTAATTAACTTTCTTCTTTACYTCCATGCCTCAGTCATCTAGAGATTACACATTGCATCATCAGTAGCAAATCACTCCTGAGACTCTTTTCCTAGACAATATTGTTCCCAAGCTTTATATTTCATTCATATACTAGATTCTGCTTACCATATGAATGAACATGCCACTTTGGTAAAAAATAAGTGTCCAGTGTATCAGTGGGCAACATAGGGTAACTACACAATTTCAGTGAAATCATTCCAGATTCAGAGTTTGGACCAAAGGGAGTTTTGCCTTTACACCATGAAGTGTGGGCTTTTTTTGAAGTCTGACACACTTTTACCTGTCCATGGGGCTCTCAAATTGTCAGGAAAAACAGCAAGGTTGCTGGCTTCATGCCACACTTTCCATCCAATTTATGCCTTAAATGTTAAATTACCAAAGAACATGGAATTCATTAATTTCCAGCAGACAAGTTGGTAGCAGCTGCATTCAAAATCAGGCTGCCTCAAACTTTGAAAATGTATTCCTTCTACACATGGTGTCTGTTCACAATTTATCACTGCCTATTAGCTAGCAACAGCAGTAGGTTGGAGGTGGTTTAGTTTCTGCTTAAGAAACGATGCCACCAAATGTTAGCAACAGAAATCAGTGAGTTCACTCTTGTGCTGGAAATGTGTGGAATCMAACTCCTGTTGAGCGAGATAAGGGCTGCATTAGCTCGCAGCAGTTGTCTGCTGGTGTTTGCATTACAGAAGCAGCACGTTATGCTGGAAGGTAAATGCCTGACTCAGTTTATTTGCTGCCTTGTCAGGAAGAAGAACTTCTGAAAACTTAATAGGATCATTCATGTATCTAGCAAATTTAAGATGTCTAAAGTTATGAATATTAATACTGGGCAGATGGAAGCACTTGAGCACTTTAAGAATGGTAAAGATATTCAGAGMAACAAGCTTGTTTTGATCTTACTGAATAAAAACCCAGGTGTGGCTGTAAAATTTCCCTCTTGTCCCAGCACAGTGTCCTGGGCACTGGCTGCAGGCCCAAGAACTCGGATGGATGATGCCTGTGCCATGCAAACATGGGACCCTGCAGAGCCTGGCAGCCCCACACTGGCCTCTGTGTTTGGATGGCTCAGGGCTGCTGAGGAAAGGAAGAAAATGGTTTCTTTCTAAAAGCTGTCAGTGTGGGTCTGGTCCCAGGACTGTGTTTGTAGATATTTCTGTARCACAGCTGCTTGGCAAGTACTAAGCAGGCTTTGGCAGGTGTCAGACAGGAGTGAGTGCCTGGACCTGACAATACGTCAGGTGAGCTCTGGCCTAGGGGAATTTTGTCTAATTCAGCATTTTTTGTATTAATGCTTTTATAGATAAACACACAGGCTTTGTCAAGAAAACAGTTTAAACACATGTAAGTCTCTAAGAGCAAGCATGAATGAAAAGCAGCACACAAAGGTCAGTTTTTCTTTCCATTCCTAAATGATGGCTTTCATGATAGCTGTTAGATTACTGAGAGTCTGAAGTTCTCTGGATTCTGAACTATGCATAATTCAAAGATACAAACAGTCTTTCTTCAAAGTGGCAGTGTTTTACAGACTGGATACTGACACTTTCACTTCTCTTAGTGAAAAAGTTTCTTCTGACTCAGTATCTATAAAATCCCTTTTTTAAATCCTTTTCTGATACAGTGCTACTTCATTTTTAACAGCAGCATTTATAGTCAATACAGACACAGTAACTGTATTATTCCTGTAATAATGATRAAACTTACCTTGTTTGATAGGCTGCTGATTTGAGAAGGTGAGAGGAGTAACAAGGAATTTGGTTTCAGCTACCTGTACCCAGTGGTGCAGAATTTTTATTGTCCAGACACCAGGTCGCAGGGGCAAATTCAGAGGTGGTTTGTAGTGAGTAAACTCGGCACTGGATTCAATAAGAATATCGTATGTGGCTGCAATGACATTAATGGGATCCACCCAAATGACAGTCACGGTGACATTGGGGCCTTTCCCCCATTTCTGCATCCCAACAGGCTCATCCATCGGCCCGAGGAGTCCCCCGAAATTCCGGAAAAGCCTTTCCTTGGCGTCCCACTCGGTGCCAATCTGAAATTAAAGAACACAGTGCTGGGAGCATCATCTCTGTAAGCATCTGAGACCCTTATGGCAAATAAGGGCTCTCAAGAGACACAAATCATATTTCTCTAATCAACGAATTATACACACATACAAAAGCTGACAGCAACATGACCTAAGATCATCACGTGTACACAAATTGTGAGGCAACCTCAAATGCAAAATGCAAAACCTCAAATGCTTGCTTTTTTGGTCTGCTTTTGATTGATAAAATGGTTTTCTTTATCTCAAGAGTGACACAACAGCCTATAGYAGCTCTCTCTTCCCTCCACAGAAGCACTCAATATACATGGATATTGAGGATTTTCCCCATACAGAGCTGTCCTTGTCCCTAAGCTTCACCTCACAGGGGCATGGTCAGAACCCGCTTTCCTGAAAGTACAAGAAGTAATTGCAGCTCATTTGCCTCAGAGATTTTTCTTCTTGATTTTGTCTCATTTAATGAGAATAAGTGATTCCAATATAATGCCTAAATCCCCCCAAATCCCCGAAATACAACGATTACCTGACATCTGTTACCTGTACTGGAAACTGTCCAGTCTCCAATCCCTTCTAAACAAATCCCTGTGGCTGGCAGACAAATTACAGGACTGCAAGCAAAAAGCTACAAGGTCAGTAAAATAAAACCCTACCATCCTAAATCCATCTGTCATCACACAAATTCTCCTACCAGGACTATGACACTGCAGAACATGAGACAAAATGAGCCTTCCCCTGCTCCACAATCAACACAGCATTTCTGGTATTTCAGAGGTATTTCACCCAGCACACCAGCTAATCAAACCAGACAGCATAGCCCAGATATCAGACCCAAGCATCGACTGCCTCGAGGAGCTGTCAGTGCATGCTYTCCTGACAAGACTGACTGAATATGTATGGAAATAAGCTGAGAAAGAAAATTTCCTGACCAGACCTTATTATCTACTCTGCCAACCTTCACTGAGTGCGGCCATATCACACCTACYGGTGCTCAAGGGACCTGGAAATAATACAGTCACAACATGTGAAACAAATCCACACCCTCCTGGGCAAAGAAAAGTCTGTAAGAAAGCTCTTTCCACCACATTCAGTATTTCTACTGAAGGATTCATTGCAGAAAACTTGTTTCATCCTCAAAAATTAAATGCTCACTCCTGACAACCAACTATTTATCCTCTCTTTAGGTTCTCACTCCTGAGAACAGAAATCAGAAAGTTACAGTCCCCTTGCTCCAAGCTCCAGGTGCCACTGCTCCACACCAGACTGCACAAAAGATGTTGAGACATTTCACATGTACAGAGGTTTATTAGACTGCTCTGTAGAAGAGCTAAGGCTGCTTTTGGGGAAAAATTGTAACACCATTCTCTGGTTGTTAAGCTTTGTGCAGGSGTGGCATTGGGCTCCCTAAAGAAAAACAGAAGTTAGAGCCAAAGGGTAGGGGAAAGGGGGAGGGAAGGACAGTTCTGGTGTGGGTGGCAGTGGCTCCAGAGAGCTGTCACCCCATGGTCAGGGTGTGCAGCTGCATGGAACAGCAGCAAAGCACAGCCAGGAGGGCACAGAGCTGCAGAGAACACAAGGGTACCCCTGGATCCCCGAGTGCCCCAGGGCTCACACCCAGGCTGGCTCACACCCAGGCTGCACAGGCACCTCGGGGTGGGAAAGGCAGGGASCTGCACGCTCTGCTCATGGGATCTGCCCTTTATGTCTGGTTTCCAGCTGCAGACATACTTTCCCATGCAGCACAGCTTGCAATACCAGCTGCTTTTAGAAGCACAATATTTTATAGGGAATTTTACTTAAAGCACTGGTTAAAGGTTTATAACCCTTGAACTTTACACAGCTGAGTTCCCAGCAGCGAGATGTCCAATTTTACAGGGCAAGAGATACTACAGTCCTATAATAACTTCCACAGCCCTTTAAAACATTGTGAGTAGGCTTTCACTTTCAAATAGAATATGCCAAGTATGGGATAGAATCAAGCAGTAATGAATATCTGATAAATTATGAAGGGATGTGGCACAGAAACTGACAATTTCCACATCATTATTTTAATCACCTTTATTTTGGGTTTCAAGAGCAAGCACTGTGCACGGGGTATGTTTGAAAAGCTGGAAATGTCTCATTGGCACAAAACTTCTGTTTCTATCTCTGTTCGAACCCAAGATAAAATTTTCCCAAGATAAATTATACCCTGATTATGGGTTCGTGTCTCATTGCTCACCACAAACAGGACCATTAGGCTCACACAATGCACACTAATTGCCTGCCACCTAGTTTATTTTATTCTCCGTGATGAATCACAAGTCTTAACAAGACCAGAAATGAACTTAGCGTTCAAGTGATAGAGGGTGAGCCCAGACTTTTAGTTCTGCACAGCAAATCAATCCCCTGCCCTCCACAGAGAAGCTGCCTGAGCCCAGGCTGGCAGGACACACAGTGTGTGCATTGTGCACCAGCCAGTTGGAGGAGGTGTGCGAGTTCCATGCTTGGAAATCATCTCTCTTGGATTTCCTGTAAGTTTATTTTATTTGACTCAGCCTGCAGGAGCCGTGTGCCATCGAAACGCTGTCATTAATGTCATTAACTCCCCCCGGCCGTGGGACAGCCAGCTTGTGTTCCCAGGGTGTGTGGTGAAATCTGCTCCTCAGGAAGCAAAGTCTGAGAGAAGCAGAGGAGCAGAGGGCAGGAAATGGGGACTGGAGAGATCCCACCATCGCTGCTGCAATCTCCCTTGTGCATCAGGGTCACAAATACACTCGGGAGCACTGCAGTGCAGCACATTCGTGCTCTTCCTGCTGGCCCCAGTGGTGTGAGCTGGGAGAGGGGAGAAAGTTCCCAGCTAAAATAGCCCCATTCAGTTTGAAATTCCTGCCAGATCATGGGGTGAAAGTCATCAAAGAACAAACAGTTCTATGTCCCAATAAGCACAAATCTTAATTCCATTTTGTGTGAACACTGATGTTCCCATCTTAGCTTAACAGTAAAATAAAACCCTACATCCTAAATCCATCTGTCATCACACAAATTTTCCTACCAGACTATGACACTGCAGAATATGAGACAAAATGAGCCTTCCACTACTCCACAATCAACACARCGTTTCTGGTATTTCAGAGGTATTTCACCCAGCCCAAAAAGTTTGTTTTCCATTTGCTGGACCATGACAAAGCAATGGCATTTTCATAAGCAGCAGCAGATCAGAGCTTTCCAGCCATATTGAGGCTGAAGTTAATGCTTGATCTATAGCAGGGTAACTGAGAGAATAATTTGGCTCGGAGATCCCTGCAGGCCAAGGGAAGACTGAAAGTAAACTAAACAATTAAAAAAGGATTAAATCATTCACTTTGTACCTCCTGGTCTTTTAAAATATGAATCATCAATGAGAGGAGAGGACAATTAAAGAGGTCAGGTGAGAAAATATAATRAAAACAAGAAAGCAGCAACCAAAACTCTTTCTGTGAGCTTCAAATAGAAGAAAATGTTTCCTGGCCGTGCTCTGTGAGTCTGTGAGGAGCAGCTCAGCATTCCCATGCAGGGACCCTCCCTGCAGGGTGACAAATCCCCAGAGCAGTGGAAAGGTCACTGAGTGCCAGGGCAGGCTGGCCCTGGGCACTGCTCTTGCAGGGGGGGACAGGTGCCCTGTGGCCAGGGGGACCTGTCTAATGACCACAAACCACAGGTCAGTTCCTCCCTACATCTCCAATGACATATAAGATACAATTTTTCTAAACATTTTGATTCAAGTTCTACAATACCAAGATCAATATATATTTTCACCACACAGGTAGGAAAAAACTCTCCCCCTGCTGCCAGCCCAGTTGCTTTCTAAAAGAGGACTCGGAGCAGGCATCAGGATTAAAGTGAGATTAAAAGTACTAAATAAACAGCAGAAATACTCCTACAAATCACAAGAATTGGAGCTTGTATGAACATTTATCACTGCACGAAATGGCAGGCCTACCGTCCGACACCTTGATAAATGAAACACACTTTCCATCCATCTCTTTAATGGCACATTAGTGTCATGGATTTGCCATGCACACCAAAACACTGAATCCCACCTAGGCATTTCTTAATTGCCCAAGAAGATGGTAATTTATGGACTTAGCCATAATGACTGGAACACATTTGTTCAATCAATTTTATACCTTAATTGAAATTTGCGGCTTAACAAGAAAAATCATGAAATTAACTGCTCAGACAGTTGTATCTTTAAAACAGAACACAGATGTCAGGTCCTATTAGTGGTCAACTTTCCTGATATATTTTAGGGTAGACTTTTTACACTCTATAACAAACACTGGGACAAATTTCTAGAAAAAATAAGAGGATTTGTGGGAAATCTCAGCCACCGCTGTGATAATTGTCTCTTTTGTGTCACAACATCAATATTCTGCTCACATGTGGTACCAGTACCTGAGTATCACCAATTTTACGAGTTTCTTTCCAGCGTACTCTTGAGAGAAACATTTAAACATTTCCATCTGGAATTGCAGAAAAAATGGCATTTTCCCCAGGAGCCTTTCACAGCACTCACAACAATCACAGTTGCAAAACTTTTAAATTACTTCTAAATTACTGAGCCCCTTTGACAACAACAAAAGCCTTCCATTTGTTTGTAAAACAGAAGGGAGTGAGGATACTCAGATTAAAGTAAGAAATGAGGATTGACTTCTTCTGAACTGGCAACGGTATCTCCTTCTATGATAAGGATGTGCACCAGCTAGAAAGCCACTCTCAGCTCAAATTTACATGGAAATACCATTTCCAAAGGCTGCTGATTTAGTGTTGACTCTCGTGCTGTCAGAGGCTCGTGACACTGTGCATGGGTGGCTATGAACACTCACCTCTGAGAACTGCAACCTTCCGAAATCGCTCGGTGGACTCGCGATCTTGAAGACTTTCTTGGGCATCACCCACGTCTCCAAAGTTTCCAGTTTACTGACAGCCAGATTGGTTGCATGGTGCCTGATCAGGAAGCCTTGGAAACGGTCAGCAAGGAAGTAAAGGTGGATGGAAACTGGATGGCCCATGGGATAGTATCTGAAAAACAGCACACGCTCATCAGTCACCCAAGAGAGACATGAAATCTCCATTTACCTGGAGCTAATGGCTTAAGGAGCATTCATTTCAACTAGAAAATCCACCACTGTACATTAGGAAATATCAAATGTGTTCATATGACTCATTATCAAACATTCTTAGGCTGTTCCGATTGCCCTGAAATGTAAAAATACATTACTGAGAATACAGGCTCATTAATTCCATATGCACAGCTCTGAGCTCTTCAGGAGGTCCCTGTCCCTCACCACCTCTCCTGGTGCCACCCAGAGCRCACACAGATTGTTCAGCTACAGTTTGCTCAGATAAACTGCAGGATGAAGGATGCCCCAGRACTGTGCCTGTGCTCCAGAGCAGGTGCTGCCTTTCCTGCCCCAGCAGGGTCAGCAGGGAATTTTGTGACCAGGTACAGACCCCTGCACTCCCTCCATTCCCAAACCCCTTCCCCAAAAGCAGGGCACTGCAGCAAAGGACACCATGATCCTGTCCTCATTTTAGGTCTCCTTTATTTTAGGAAAAAAGCTTCACATTCCTTAAAGATTTCAGAWTGCTTTCGCCATGATATTTTTATTCATAATTTAAAAAAAAAAACTTGAAAAAAGGTCAAACAACTGGGCAAAAGCAGTGTTTGGGAGACCTGGAAGCCTTCAGTTCAGTTCAGATTTAAAGACATTATAGGCACAACTTCAAATAATTAAAATGCATGGTTGATTGTCTGAAACATCTGTAACGATGTTTGGGTACATATGGATGCATAAATAATTGAAAAYGTGCTATTTGTAGCTCAGAAATCAAATATTTTGCTACTTTACAGCACTGACATTAACAGCAAAACCAGTTAAACCAGCCAGCATCACACCTTCCCAGTAAGTCAGCTAAGTCTGACTCCTCACGCTCRTTACCACAATTAAAGGATGAGGACTGAGAAGAGCTGACCAAGAAGGACTTTCCATTGGAGGATGTCAGTAATGCCCAGAAGGAAGCTGAGCTGGAGAAATCAACATAWGAAGGCAGGGCACCAACAGGGRCTGAGCAAAAACACTGCAGAGCTAYGCAGCAACAATCTGACTTCTGTTCTGAGTACTAAGACCTCCTGTTTTAGACCTGTGCAGCAGCAAATATTTACAAAATCCTTGAAATAGTCTGAGTAAATCGCCTCTTGGCAGCAGAGACTAAAAATGCCTGGAGATGGAAGAAATGAATGAAATCTCCATCACACATGAATGCTGCTCCCACGGAAGGTGCTGGCACTCAATCTCCTTTGGTACCCGAGCAGTCTGYGGGGGCACGGCTTCCTGAGGCTGTGAGCTGGCCCTCGTTGGGAAAGTGTGCAAAGCACTGCCCCCACAAACATCCCCTGGGCTGCTGTGGGTGCCAGCATGGCACTGACTCCAAGGGGTACCTGAGGCTTTCCTGGCAGCTGGCAAAGGAGCTGGGGTGGCTGCTGCAGGATCAGCCAGYTTGGTGCTGCTCTCAGCCCCACAGCAAAGGGAACACTGTTCAGGAGCTCTGCCCAAATCCATCCTGGCATTACTGTGTTTACAGACGTGCAAAATCACCAGAGGGAAAGAGGACAGGTAGAGATGCAAACACCCAGAAGGATGGTGCAGTATCAAAAGAGAAGAGATSTGAATCATAAACCTGAGGATTATCMATCTTTCTCTGATCTAAACTGGATGCTGACTCACAGTGTCTTGAGGGASCTGAGGCAGGTATGAAAATGAAGCCTCCACTCCCTATCACTGTTTGCAATTCCTCCCTGCACGGTTTCACGAGGCTYCAGCCTGCTGTAAAGGAGCTGTGCTTTATCCCAGAGACAGCTGCAGTCACGGTGTCCCTATCTATAATCTGAGCAAGCTTGAAAAGCACCTTGAGTTCCCGTGCAATGGAAAGTTCCTCAGAAATGAAACTGATAATTGCTATAAATCAGCATCAGAACAGTGGCAAAGGAGTAAGAGAAAAAGTAATTGTGAAATTATTTCAGTACTGGTTATACACAGCCCCCATCCTCACTGCTGGCTTCCCTCTGCAGGACAAATGACCCAGGGCTTCCTTAGGTCTGCCTTTATTTCATATAAGGAAGGCATCCTACTAGCGATTATTTCAATCTAATTGTTATTGATCTTTTATTGCTTTGCACCGGTAACCTTCACTGACAAAACTCTAATAGGAATCTGGAGCACTTATTGCCCCATCTTTCTAAATGGGACATTGCTCAGCACTTCCATGACTAATTTAGGAAGGTCAAGGCACATTTGGTTCCCTCTCGAGAACACAAGAGGGGCARCGTCCATCCATCAAAGCACATGGAGCATCTTCAGTGTTTGCTGACTTAGGCTCTGTGTGTTTTCTATTAGGAGAAAAAATGCAGGCCCCAGAAAKACATTCTGGAGAAGGAATTAAGGGATGGTAAAGTAAGACTTTAAAAGATGAACCCACTCTGCTTTGAATCCAAACAACTTCAGTTGTGTTTGCAGGCAGCAAACATCTACCATGAGGGGAGCCTTTTCTGTGCAAGTCTAACTTCAGGAATTCTTCCTTCAAATCCCTTTTAGACTGAATTCTTCTCAGCCAGGCTTATAGGTAAAAAAGGAATCTAGAACATAGGGGGAATTTCCTTTTAAAGAATAAGGACCTCAATTTGAGATAAACATATATACAGATATATAAACACGTACATCTATTTTATGTATTTGACGCTAATAGATGTTACCAGTGCAGCCCTTTTGGCACAGAGAGCTGCACCAAGCGGGAAAACTGAGCCAAGCAAGCTCTCTGTACTCCACGTGCGCTCCCAGGGGAGCAAACAAGCAAGGACCATTAACCTGCCTGTGTTCAGATTTGTTCTGAAATCCTGTCCCCTGCCTTTGGTAAGCATAATAGAGGTGAACACGACCTCTGCTGCAATCACACRGAGGGTTTAGGAGCTGAGGCTATAATACACTTGCTGAAATTAATCACGGGAAACGCAGCAGTGGGGGTAGCACTGCCCAACTGGATCCTGTCAGTCTTCATCAGGCTGGAGAGGAGCTCCTTAAAAGTGCAGCAAACAGKTCACATAATGTCAACCCGGAATAACCAACGCTTTATTACGGACATAAACMCTCCTGGAAATAAGCGCTGTGCACTTGCAGCTGCCCGGCCCCGCGTGTGGCCGCAGCTCCGGCCAAGCGAAGGAGCCTCCCCCTGTGCCTGGCGGTGCCCGTGTCCCCTGGCCGTGTCCCCTGGCCGTGTCCCCTGCGGTGTCCCCTGCGGTGTCCCCTGCCCGTGTCCCCTGGCCCGTGTCCCCTGCCCATGTCCCCCCCCCGTGTCCCCTGCCCGCCCAGCGAGGGCAGCTCCCACTGACCGGCCCCGTGTCCCCTGCCCGTGTCCGCTGCCTGTGTCCCCTGCCCGTGTCCCCTGGCCCATGTCCCCTGCCTGTGTCCCCTGCCTGTGTCCCATGCCCATGTCCCCTGCCCGTGCCCGGCAGTGCCTGTGTCCCCTGCCCATGTCCCCTGCCCGTATCCCCTGCCCATGTCCCCTGCGGTGTCCCCTGCCCGTGTCCCTGCCCGTGTCCCCTGGCCCATGTCCCCTGCCTGTGTCCCATGCCCATGTCCCCTGCCTGTGCCCGGCAGTGCCTGTGTCCCCTGCCCGTGTCCCCGGCCCGTGTCCCTGCCTGTGTCCCCTGCCCGTGTCCCCTGCCCGTGTCCCCTGCCCATGTTCCCTGCCCGTATCCCCTGCCCATGTCCCCTGCGGTGTCCCCTGCCCGTGTCCCTGCCCGTGTCCCCTGCCCGCACTGACCGGCAGCTGTTGTCCCCAGCAGCGTGGAAGGAGCTCTCAGCCCTGCGCAGCCCCAGGCGGGAGAAGGAGTGGAACATGGTGAGGGCCACGTCGCTGAGGGCGCTGGCGCCGTCGGGCTCCTCGTACACGTTCTCCCAGTAGGAGCGCAGCCCCGGCGTGCCCGGCGGGTAATTCCCGTACAGGTAATAGTCCAGCTGCCCGATGATCTCCTGGTTCACCACCGCTTCGAACTTGCGGGCAAAGAACGTTGGCCTGGCAGTCTGCTGTAGGGATATGACAGGAGAAGACACTGAGCTCACGTTTTCAGGCATGACACTTTGTGTTAAGCAATGGGTTGGAGCTGAGGACATGAACTGGGTGTCTCCATGGGCAAAGATGATCCAAAAGGTCACCTTTGGGACCATTCATYGTTAGGAGCGATGCTAAGATTCAGCTGAAAGCTACATAACTACTGCATGAAAATGTCAATCCCTTCATACCAACAGCCACCACTGCTGTGTGGCTGAAGGCTCTCCAAGTGCAGGAGGGGTGGGGAACGCTCTCCAAACCCCCGTGTTAGCCTGGAGACAGTGCAGCACTGGCATGTCCTAGGCAGGGAGCCAGGGGTGCTGTGGCACAGGGGCTCAGAAGAGGCAGAGCAGCATTTTCAGTGTATGAATTGCTGCTAGGAGGTGGTGAGAGGTCTTTGGGAGAGATGCCATCTGTGGCTGAGGTTTCTCCACTTCCTAGTGGTTCTGCCCAGTTTTTTTGCTCTGCACTTGACACAATCTTGGGCATATTACTGCTTTATATGCTACTCAAGTACSATTAGCTTTGAAAAAGTCTTTGTTTTGCCTTGTTCATATTTGAACATGGGTTCTGAGGTGCCAAGGAGTTTGAGAGTACCCCAGATGGTTGGAAATTCTTTTGAGGATGCTCATTTTTGCTCTGAGATGGTGCATGCTGTGGGCTTTGTGATCTGAGCTCGCTTTGTGCCCCATGGGAACAGCATGCTCAGCCTTCTGGTGCTGTGTGCTCATGTGAGGGGCTCTCTCRGCAGCAAGTGTCAGAAGCTGCCTTTACATCTATTCTAATTTTGAACTTTCCCTTCCAGCTCATCTTACCTGCTTGTTTTCTAAAGTACTGTTGTGGGTTCACAGCCTGGAGCAGGTCAGGCTCTGCAGTCTGGCAAGAGTTTTTTAAGATTTGCCATTTATCTGTGCTGGAGACTTCCYTGGAATTGGTGTTTGGGGCAGCAGAGCCTCTCTTAGATAACATCTCATTTGCTCTTTTTGTGAGTGCCTGTGTCACTGACTCCAAGTGTGCCTGGTAGGCAGCACACTGCCATGAAGAAAAGGTCTCTGTTTCAGAGCAGTCATCATTCCTGTGCTGTAGGGGAACACATTCCCCATCCCACACAAAGCCTGAACAAACATGCTTTATGCAGGGAACCCCGAGGAGCTGGAGGGATGGAATTGCAAATCTGATGACCTTGAAACAAGTGACTGTTCATTCTTMATAGAAGATACACAGGCCGGATAGAGCCTCGAGACTGAGTGCACCCTGGAGCACAGGACTTGCTCTCATGTCTGCCTTGAGGAAACTTTCACAAAGGAACTGATTAAACTTTTTAAGACAGTCCTGCCAAACCTGGGTGATCAGAGCCTCATGACTAAGGCTCCCAAAACCATGAGATAAACTTTAATATAATCATGCTGATGAATATAACAACAAAAATGGATTTGCTTTGTGCTGAGTGATTCTCCAGCAGGCGAACTGCTCAACTTCTAACTTTTTTTAAAAGATGATAAACATTGCTTAACGCAGAAAGCCAGGAGTTTCATGAAATGATGAAAGCACCTGAGCTGGAACTTTGGAAAAAAAACTCTTTGCAATAAACTCACAAGAGTTGTCAAGTAATAGTAATACAGTGAGAGATGTGTCAAGCTTCCCTCCTTWCTAGCAGAGCAGATTACCAATGCCAAGGAGTCCAAAGAGCTGCTTTGTGACCTTAGCATGCAGCAGTGAGTCTCCAGAGCCAAAACACAGAAGAACTAACCTTTCATTGTCCTGCAATTAAGATCAGAGCTTCCTCACATCTCTTTCTCCACCAGCCTGATGGAGTCAGAGCTTCCCTTCCCTCTCCCTGCTGCAGCCATGCATTCAGCTGCCTCTCACACCCAGACAGGGGAAGGGCCTCTCTGCAGGTATGTCCAGGTACCTGGAACCGATGGAAGTCTGAAGGTTTGAAGTCGTTGGGAGAGCAGCCACACCAGTCAACGATGTGCTTGTACTGGCACTTGCAGCCCAGCTTGCGGTTCCAGTTGGTGATGCGCAGGTTGTTGTCCACCATGGAGTCACAGAACGGGCTGTTCTCCAGCACGGTGTGAAAGAAGGACTGCAACAAACACAGAGCACCATTAGGCTTAGCTCCTCAAACACCTTCTGCTCCTTCACCTTGGCCCCTCAGCCCAAACCTAATGCAGGTGACCTATTTTCATTGGAAATGCCAGAATTAACAAGCTCTATTGYTCTGCCACATGTGAAATACACTCCGTGTGTATATCCACAGAGCATGGAAAAATCACAGCACTCCACAGACCCAGCCAAACTGTACAAACACACAGCTGAGGTCCAGCTCCAATAACCTGGCACAGAATAATTGCACATTGCTGCTTGCAAGACCAGCTTTGGGCACTGGGAGTCCAAAGGACTCCAGCAAATGCACCAGTGCCAGCAATCATATTTTTATTTCAGCTGTATGAGCAATTCTAAGAAATTCCCATTATTTTTGTTCTGCAAGTTACTCCCTAGTCAGGGAGTAACAGATTTAGGACTATTTCTCTGAGCGATGTCCTAATGGCACATTTCAAGCTGTTTCCTAAAACAATTCTCAAAACTACATCATCACCCTGGTTACTATGATAAAAATACAGTCCCAGACAGCTCTTCTGTGGGTGTCTATCTCTAGCACTCTGAAATGCATTGCTAGTTGAGTGGCTTTGCTCTGAAATACACAGCTCACCCTAGGCACTAAAAGGGCATTCTGCCTCCTGCATTTACGTCTGAAATCATAAGTCTTTATTTGCTGACTCATGGCAGCATGGAATTCCTATTGGGCAATCCTAATTATATCACCATAATATCAGCTATTACATAAACCATGCGTAATGGGGACTGATACAGCAGGTTAACAGGTCAGTCAAGGCAAGGCCATTTTACAAAACCAGCTATGGATCTTGCAAAGAAAACCCTTTAGAAAAAAGCTATGGAATATCATCGAATTTAGTCCTGCAAGAAACCATTTTTGGAGCAGTGACTTCTCTTYAAAATCAGCAATAGTAAGATCTATAAATAACCAGCATAACATTAGCATGGCTGGCCCCCAAATAATCCCCCTACCCTTTTTAATGTTAAATGACAGCCCAGTGAATATGGATTTTATGCTTGAACTGTTTGGTTAAACCCATAAAGGCATCCATTCTCATTCAAGCGAGAGGGGAAAAAAAACCCTACCCAATTACCCATTACCCTGTGTCCTTTTATAGCAATACAGGAATTTCTCTAGATAATGGATGAAAAGGTTATCAGAGTAGAGAGAAAAGGTGATTTTTAACAGAAATGGGATTAAAAGAAGATTATGCAACGTGYGTGTGGAATAATGAACCCCAATCAAAAGATAACAATCGCTGTGCTCCACCACAAGCTAACGAGTTTAGATTTGAGAGATTGGTGTCATCATCCCTCAAAATGCTCAGGAGCMAAGGCAGTTATGGGTTTAAAGGCAGTCACCAGGCCTTCCTTGGGACAGCTGAGTGCTGCACCCTGTGGAGCAGAGCCTGGCAGGCCAGGGGAGCAGTGAACCTGCTGGGGCAGGTGCAGCACACGCTGCCAAGCCCTGTGCTCTCCCTGCAGACATTCCTGACACACGGCTGCACGCCAGGCAAAACCCACACTGCYCTGCACTCCCCTTCTGCATCACTTGTAGCCAGAGCGACTCCTGAGTGATCTAAATGATTTGTGACTGTGCCTTCTAGCTGAGTTTTGAACAGAACAATAAACCTTTGTTTGCAGGGTTTATATTTTTAAAGAAAAGCGCTGGATAATAGCAAGGAAAGCTACTTATGAAGACAATTCGCCATCTTTAATATCCTTCAAAAGCTTTGTGCAGGAACAATTTGCAAGCAAAGGGCAGCTGGATTTTTGGTTGTTCAGTAACAGATTARTAGGCTTAGGAAGTATAAAACAAAGCCACTCCTTGCAAAAAAGTCCCACAAACAAAGCAATAAACARCTGCAGAAGATGTTCTAACCCTAAAGGACTTACTCATCATAGAASTAAAATTTTCAWTACCCACTGACATGGGGTGAAAGCYCCTCTGATTTGGGTCARATCTTTGGGACAAGCACAAACATTGCAGTGCTGAACACAGAGAGGGATCCTCTGCACTCACGTACCTCGGCAGGAAGCAGCGTGTAGGAGTAAAACCTCTTCATCTTTGTTACCAGATCATCATTAGAAAAAGTGACATATTCCACAAACTTCCTGTTTAGGAGGAACCAGTCGGAGCCCCCATCGACTGTGATTCCCTCTGGGATCTTGCGGTCCCCCAGGCGCCACATGTGGGTGTCACACTCCAGGAACAGCCGATCCAGGCCTTGCTTTCTGATAAATCTGAGGGRATACAAGAGGAGACATTAAAAGTTAATTTGTATTTCGTTATCATCAGGAGCTTTATAAATAAAAAGCTGCTTTCTCAAACAAAAAAGGATCAAAAGGTCACTTGTTTATATTTCTGTTCTACTCATAAATAATGTAGAGAGGTTTAATGAATGATTAATCAGTTATATGTTCAGTTAYGGAGGCAAAGATCAACAGATTGCTTTTAAACATCATTTACACCTTCTGCTGTCCTAAGGCTGTGCAGGTGACAGAGCTGTAGGGCAGGAAAGTCCATAATGCTCATTAACTCTGAACAAACCACTGCAGAAGAACTGCACCATGAAYAGGAACTAAACACACTCTGTGACAYRCTTCTGTCTCTAAATAAATTCACAGCTTTTCAAAAACAGGAAAATACACAAAGGTAAAATGACCAATCTTCTCCTATGCTATTATTTCATTAATTTTTCYGCTGGGATATAGCCAATTAGGACAGAACACCATTGTATTGGTCTTCGCTGTAGAATGAGCAAGTTTGCTCCATTTTCAAGTCTATGGGGAGCAATGTTTTGTTATTGCTGAACCATAAATAAGAGGAGCAACTGCAGAATTGCAAAGTTATGGAAATGAATTATTTGARGCAAATATAAGAAGAGAAGAAAAGCTGGGACATCAATCTGTGTTTGAAAGCACTTTGGCCTGGATGCCCACCCATGTTTTGAGACTGTCTGATCCAGGTTTCTGTYTGTTACTCCATTTAGGAATAATTTTGCTAAGGAAAAGCAGGACAGCCGTGAATGAGCACTGAGGGGGGCTGAGCACTGTCCAGCCCCGTTGGATGTGAGCAACTGAAGGAAAGGGAAAAGAAATAAAAGTTAAGGAGCAACACCAAAGCCTTCTGGAGTCCTGCATCTGGAAAYATGAGCATTAACCCTGTAGGCCAACTCCCTGGTTCAAGTTCTGTTCCATACCAATCAGAGAACTGAGATGCAATTATGAAATGGTGCATATTAATTTTCAAAAGGACCGTAAATGACTTCAGGGTCTATGTCCTACTGATAGCTATGTCTCTTTTCACAGTATGAGAAGAGCTCCTCTGTTAACACAACAGTGCAGAAATATGTAAATGAGAGTCGAGAAATTTTTCTTTCCATGAACAAGTTTCTAATTTCATGTTCCATTATGAAGGATAATAGAAAAGTCTTGCAATTTTAATGTAGTGCTCTGGAATGTAATCTTCAAATTCARTATTTATGCAGTTATCTCCAAATCAAATATTAATGTGCCTGAAAGTTTGGTCATTTATTTATTTCTCTCAAAACTAAATGCTCATTAGAGTTAATTATTTTAAGAAAATAACAGAACTTTATTGACTATATTTAAATAGGAACATAAAGTTCTTTTCCATGAAGTAATTTCTTTCAATTGCTATCTCCACCAATTTATCACCCTTTACTCTCATTTTCAAATAGAAGATTCTTTGACTGCAATAGAAACCCTCAAACAAAAAAAAAAAAAAAAACCACCTGGCCATTTCAAAACCTGCACTGTGTACTGACTCCCCCAGCCTGATACAGCTCCAGCTCCCTGGTACTGTAACAGCTCCAGCCTCATTGTCTGAATTGGCAGCACAACAGCGTGACCACACTCAAGATGAGAAGGTCCCAGCAAACCTTGACCCACAGCTTCATGTTTTCCAAAATATTTGACAGGCTCCTTTTTCCTGTATGTGCACAGTTCTAAGGTTTTTTCAAGCTAATGGCTTGGAAAAGCTAATCTTAGGATATGGAGTGAAATAAGTCAATTCCTGGGAGTACAGCTGTTCTCACAGCAAATCTCAGCCCCCAAATCTTATACAATGGGGTTATTAGAAGAAAGTAAATGTACTTTCCAATCACCCWCCAGCAAGGCTGCACAGCCCAGCTGAAGGGCTGCAATGCCTTTGGAGCTCTCCAAAGAAATGAYCCTTTTGCTTGTGCCTCTCAAAACCTTTCTAGAAACACCACACCAGGTTTCAGATGTGTAACCATTGAACAGAGAGCAGGAGTTTTTCAGCAGGCTCACCCTCACTACACCTCCATGGAATAAGGCATTAGCCAAGCAAATAATSTGTGATTGCAAAGCAATGGTTTATACAAGGGGCAGTGAAGGACAGCTCTGCACCAGCAATGCTCACTGTTCATTTATGTTCCTTGGGAGCCAAGGGGACCGAGTGCATTTCAGATCTGCTGGAAGCTAAACAGGAGGGGCTGCTGGCACAGGGAGCTGAACTGCAACCAAAAYGCAGGAAAAGGTGGATGAGGCTCCCTTTTTTCCCTGCAGGCTCTCTTCTAGGATRAGTGATGCTCCAGCTACTCCAGCAATAGTGGTTTTGGCATTCAGGCAGGCAAGGACTTGCTCTAAGCATTCTGAATGCCCTGAGGGCAAGTGAAAGGGGCTATTTGTATGTCACACAGGCCTTTTAAATAAATTAAAAACTCCCAAACACTACGAACAATTCACAAAGATTCTTGACTAGCCATTGAAAAATGCTTGCAGCCACCTCTGAAAAGAAAGATAGGAAGATAGAGGGCAAAAGCATGACCCTGCTGATTTGTTTCTAGTCTAATGCTGTATTTCATTAGCTTCTGGTTATATTCAAAACAGTACATTTTATAAAGCCAGGCAAAGCTTCAGAAAAAGCAACGAAATGCAAAAAAAAGGTGTTTTTTTCCCTTGGCTTTCTCTCTTGGGTCTGAGAACTGCTTACAGATAACTCCCAAATTAAAAGTAGGGACAAAAAAAAAAAGGCTTAGTAGTAGCATTTCCTTAATCTTAGCCAATGTGGAAAAATTCAGGTTCTTCCTGTCACCCTGAATGTCAGGTAAGAGTGRAACACCTCTGCAACTGCAAATGCACTGGCAGGACAAGGACATCCAACTGAACCAAGGCATGGCTGGCCAAATACAACAGAGATTATCACCAGCTCAAGACAACTGACCTTTCTCCTAATCTAAAACAAACAGGAGGGAAGTAACAGTGATAGGAAAAGAGAAAATAAAATTAAAATAAGACTAGCGTTAAGAAAAGCATGCCATTTTGCCTTATTTCATAGAACACTCAATCTAAGACATTGTATGCCTCCCCTTACCAATTTTAATTCTTCCTAAAGAGCCTCCAGTTTTGAGGGCCTGGGTTTACACTCAAAAGCAAGCAGGAAGCAAAGGATATGATGAAGATGTGTGGGCACCTGAGCTCAGCAATCAGACACTGTGAAAGGTGTCCTGGCTGTGCGTGGATGCAGCCTCAGGGTTTACACAGMTCCAGAGAGTTATTTTTATACTTTGCTAAAAAAACCCTACTGCCTGCAGCACGTGGTCTGTCACACTGAGTATAGATGTCAGTCCAGGAAGCTCATGATTGCAAYCCAGCTCAGGGAACTCCTCTTACTTTGTAGTTTATTTAAATATTTATAAATGCATTTCAGACAAGATTCTAGGACTGTATAACACATAAAGTATTTGTAACTCGTGTGGCACATACTCCTACAACATGAGTATGAACACACAGCTCAGCTCTTATGACATGTTTTAACTGCTAATAAATRTTGCTGCACAGTTACTTAACATCAGCAAAAACATCACAATCAAATATCATCCTTTTGGATGGTTTTCTCCAAGGGACAGTGCATACCATGGCAATTTGGAGAGACCCCTACTCTTGAATGCTCCACTTACACAGTATTTAAGTCAGAGAGTTTACTGTTTTCTGAAGTTTATGAATGAGTAAAATTTCCTAAATTATCAGATTGCTAAATAGCACTTACCAGTAACTTTGTCACTAAAAAGTTTTTGTCTGGAAGGAACAAACTTTTTAGGGTGAAAAGGTTTCTTCCTAAATGTTCACTTTTTCTGGCCTTTTGCCTAGAAAGCCTCCCATTCACATTTCTCTGTTAACCAGGTTCACTTACCCAGGCCCTTATCAACATTACTCAGGATTTAAGAATAAGAGCTATGAATAGAAGTTACAAAACACCAGCAAAACAATTCAACACAAGCCAAAAATCAACGTCAAAGCAAGGATCTGTAGAGCTTGGAACCCCACTAACTCCACGTCCATATTTCCCTTAGTGMAGGTGCACATTGCTTTGACTTCATCTGTTCCTTTCTAATTGTCTTTAGGCGAAAATTTGAGGAAGAAAGTCCATTTCAGTGTGAAAAGTCAAGTAAATATTTTTACAGATGAGAAATGTTATAAYGAGTCACTTGCCAGCAGTGTTTGCACAGCCACCCTGGACACACTCAGCAGAGTCAATCAGCTGGGAAGATAAAACCATAATTTGCAGTTTAAGTGACCAGCTAGAGAACACAGAACAATATTTTGACAATCTTGTCAAGTACTTAGTGAGCAATCTCTAGGCTACCATACATCTCCATAAACCAGGCACTGAAGAATTCTTTAGAACAAGAAGGTTTATGAAGCCCAAACCTGCACAGAGCAGGATCGTTCCCTGCCTGCTCACACCAGAAATCCTGGCATTCACTGAGTGTGCTGAGTCCAGCTGATTTCACTCTGTTTCCACGAGTAACTCCAAGGGTTAAATAATATTTACAACATCCGAAATAACAAACATTTGGCTCTTTAAACACAGTATCTATATGGTAGCAGGCAATCATCTCTTTTTCTAAGGACAGGGTCTCACAGAGTGTTTCCCTAGACCCCTYCCTGTCATGCTGAAAGCCTCCAGGGCTGATCCCCCACTCCCAAAACGGAGTTGAAGCTTGAAAAGARGAACAGTGTCAAACAGAAATAGCACCTACTTAGTCTGTCAAGATGAGGAAGATTTCTACCCAGTATGACAGGCATCATGTGGAAAGCACAGAACACACAATTCCTGCTGTTTCAAAAGGCCTTGAAAATAACTCTCAGTACAGACAGGAATGATGGAAGAGAAGGAGAAAAGATAATTGTAACTTGCTTTTCAAAGTGCTYAAACTGAGGCATCCTAAATGCAAATTTTATGAGGTCAAAAA